TTAGACCCCCTTCCCTATCCGCACTGCCCCATAGCTCTGCCCCCAGATTTCATGCATGCTTTCATATATGTTAAAGTCTACTGAGGCAAGTTTGTGTCCCTCGATGTGAATTCATGCACTGGAGTCAAGTCAGCCTATCTAGAGTCTCTCCCTTAAAGAAGATCAACTCTCCCTCACCCAGCAAGTGATCAGCTGCCAATAGTTCCTCAGCTATGTTTGGGGCCTCCCGCTATTTCCCCAGTTTTATGCTCTATTTTTGTCTGGGTTGACTTTAGATGGATCTTGTGCATGGTGTCACTGTTGTAAGTTTACACTAGCAAGTTCCCAGAAACCGGAAAGATTCTGTTTTCTTTTGTTCACCCACTTTCCATGGCTCTTGCAATGTTTCTTCCCCCTCTTCCACAATGGTCCCTGAGCCCTGGGTGGGTGAAGTTTAATATGAGTCCTATCCAGGGACACACACTCTGCAGTCTTTTATTCTCTACACTTTGGCCAGTTGTGGCCTTCTGTGTGCATCACACTCTGTTGCCTGAGGAATTTTTGCTGGTGAGAGTTGAGAGATGCATTAGTATTCTCTCTACACCCTGTTCCAGCATGTTCTGTGAGGATTAAGCGTAGAGGTGTCATTGTAGATGTGTCACTTAGGATTGGGTATCTCACAGACACTTATTCTCTGTGTCTGACCAGTTGTGGAACTATGCAGTAGTCTCCATCTGTTGCAAAAAGTAGCTTCTTTGATGAGTGATGACAGATATACTTATCAGGGTACTCTAGAGGTCTCAGACAGTACAATCAGGAGGGGGCCTCGGGCCAAGGCAGGGATGTGGGTGGCATGACGAGGGTCTACTAGCTGGACAGAGTAGGTGTGGGTCCTTGCCATGCCATCTCCAATGAAGCCCGCGTGAGATCCTCTGTGGGTTGAGGCTGGAACTTCAAGGAAGGTTGCCTCTTGGAATTGGCTATGCTAAAAACATGCAGCGTACTTGGCATGCTTTTACTTGCTATCATCTTTCTAACTGTCACTGTATCTTGGGCTTTCTGGGGGCCCGGAAAGCACCTGGTGTCCTTGGCACCACTGTCACCGCCTTTATTGAAAATCCTTTAATCATCCTAGTCCAGATGTACCACTATTAATGAAAGCTATTTTAGATGCAGTAAGAAGTAGTTAAGCAGAATTAATGCTGGAAAGTCCAGGGAATAACAGATTTCTGGAAGAGAGACATAGATGAATAAAAATAGATAGAAGAAGGGTTTCTTGGTATTCATTACAATTTATGGATAAATTGGTAAGATCAAGACCACCTTGGTGTCTTTTGACAAAAAATCAGTAAGAGAGCATTAAAGGGCAAATATAGAAAGTATTTGAAAATTGGTAGGAGAGAAGGATGGTTTCATGGATCCCTAACACGGGATGGCCTTTTTGGGACCTATGGAGTTAAAAAATAACTTAGAAGCCCTATGGCCCACTACAAATAAGCAAGGAATATTATCAAATAGTTTAAAAAGTAATATCAGGCACAGCTGGTGTTGAAAGTGCTTGGTGGGTTAAGGTCATTCTGACCTGGAACTACAAAGCCGAGCAGAATCCTAAGTGTGTGAGAAAGGCTGGCAGTAAAAACCACAGTAAAGCAGGAATTTACTGTCTAGTATCAGGTTCATAAGATAAGGAAATGTGTTGGCAAAATTGTTTTACTTTCATCTCTGGAATTGTAAATCTTAGCATGGCTGTTCTGCGGTTTTTGTAATCTTTGCTGTATAGATCTCAAACCTTGCAACTGCAAAAATTACACTCAGACTTTCACCAAGTACTTGTGTGTCTGTTTGTCACTCGCCGACTCCTTGTCCACCGTCTCGACGACCCTGTTCCCGTTGGACTGAACTGCCCCGGTCTGGGCTGGTCCGTCGCAGGTCCTGGAGCAGGAAAATGTAGCTGGTTATAAGTAAGTATTTTGTGCTGAACTAGAGGACTATGCATTTTCACTAAATGCAAAGAAACATGTTTCTGAAGAATCACTTATTCTTTAAAGATTTATCTTTATTTAGGTGTGTCTTTGTGTGTATGCTTTAGGTGTGTCTTTGTGTGTATGCTATGTGTGCAAGTATCCTTAGAGACCTGAAGACAGCATCAGCTCCCCTGGAACTTGGGTTCCAGGCAGTGTGAGTAACCTGATGTGGGTGGTGGGAACTAAACCCAGGTCCTCTGAAGAACAGTATATATATGCTTAAGCTCTGAGCCATCTCTCTAGCTTCCAAGAGTCACTTCTTAATAACTGAAGACACCCCAGACTGTTCTCAATGACTGCTTCAGTGAGCATGGCATGGAGTGACAGAAAATTTCTGTGTTTCCCAAAGTCTCCATGGATAAGAGCTTGGGAAGGGGTACATGCAAATGCGAACACGCACAGGCAGATGGGCACACACACACACACGCACACATACACTGAAGTTATTCATTTTGGAATATGTTGTCTTAAAGGTCACCCAAAGAGGAAGAACTTGAGAAATCCTAAGGACAAGAACTGTGGAGAACAGATACTATCTAATTAAATGCCCATTTTCTACACTAGTTCAGAACTCTTGGGGAAGCACTGGAAATAATAATGTTCAAACACATGAGCATTTCTTGATCCCTGCCTTGATCCTGTTCATAATTCCCCTCTTGTCTTGATGAAGGAAGCCAATCTTTGTCTTTCCTGTCCATAATCTCAGTGAAAAGACTGAAGGTAACCAGGCAACGACAGCACTTTACAATTCTGTTCTTGAGAAATCCCACAAATGTTTCTAAATGTACACTGTGCATAATACACAATTGTATATTACATATTTTAAAACAAAGGGAATGGTTTCCCATGAAACAGAATTTTTCAAAAAATATTGAAATAAAAGAAGAGTAGTTATCTGTGAGGTTAAAACTTTGAAACAATAAAAGAAACAAAACCATTTACATACAAATTTTTAAAGTAAAAATTGGGGATTCTGTAATGCAATTAATTAAAAAAAAAATTTTTTTTTTTGGTCTTTTTGAGACAGGATCTCCCTGTAGCCCCAACTGTCCTGGAACTTGCTATGTAGACCAGGCTGGCCTTGAACCCACAGAGATCTGCCTGCCTCTGCCTCCCAAGTGCTGGGATTAAAGGCGTGCACCACCACATCCGGCCTTAATTATTATTTTTATTTTATGTGTATGAGTGTATTGTCTGCATGTGTGTAAGTGTACCTGTGTTGTACAATATTGGCAGAGGTCAGAAGAGAGCATTAGATCCCCTGGAACTGAAGTTAGGGATGGTTTGTAGCCGCCATGTGGGTGCTAGGAATCAAAGCCAGGTCCTCTGCAAGAGCAGTCAGTGCTCTTAACCACTGAGTCATCTCTCCAGTCCCACAATTAATTTCTAAAAACAAAGTAGGGTAATGTTTTTAAAACTAAACTGATAGATATCCATTTTTCCTGCATTTGTTTATTCTTTTCATTTATTATCTTTGAGATGGTTTTACTCTGTGATCCAGTTCAAACTCATAGAAATTCTCCTGCCACAGCCTCCCTAGTACCACAACTGCAGAAATGAGCTATCATCCACGCCTCTGATACACAAGTCTTGATAACCATTTATTTTAATGACAGAGAGAAGGAACTCAAAATTAGTAAATGCCATATTTGATTACTACTTATGTACTAGAAACAATACAACTTCTTTAAATTATATTGTGTTGTTTACATTTTGCAACACAAGGTAAGTTCATTATCATCATTATGCATTATAATCTGAGTATCAAAGAATTTATTAACTTGATAATAAATAGTATGTAGCATTAAATTACCATCCCAGAAAATAAATGGGAAAAACAAAAAACATAATATACAAAGACATTTATGACAAAACTAGAATAGTCTTGTTAGAGCAGTGATCAATGGATTAATAACAAGGCTTCAGTCAAGTCAACCGTAGTTCCCGAATTTTCCCACTGTCTCATGGGACACAGATACAGCATATGTCAGTAATTAACAGAATGAATACTTCTGAGACATATCAATGAATGCCTTATATTTTGTGATTGTGTTTTCTTACACTGACCTAAGGTAGACATGCAGCACTCATATGGGAATTATAAGAACATAAGCACAACTGTTTAAGTAAATTACTTAAGTTACACTGCAGATGCATGGAGAGGAAAGTTTACACTAGATACTCTGGACAATGCAGTCTCTACTCCCAGCATGTACAATGTTGTGATAATTTCCCCTTAATTCATGATGAAGAAGAAGCATCATAGTTAAGGAGACATAATGACCGGGGTGAATTTCTTAACCAGTGAGTCCTACGTAGAGTTTTCAAACCAAATGGAAAGGCTGTAGAAAAACTTTCCTTAATCTTCTGTCAATAGCAAGAATGTGGCATAGGGATTAGGCAGGCAAGGTAAGAAACTTAGTGGTAGAGCACATCTTTAGTACGTACAGACCTCTAAACTGGTTGCTAAAACCACAAAACAATAGAAGAAAACAAAGGAAAGAGAAAGGGAAGGAAGGAAGGAAGGAAGGAAGGAAGGAAGGAAGGAAGGAAGGAGAGGAAGGAGGAAGGAAGGAAGGAGGAAGGAGGAAGGAAGGAAGGAAGGAAGGAAGGAAGGAAGGAAAAAGAAGGAAGGAAGGAAGGAGGGAGGAAGGAGGGAAGGAAGGAGGGAAGGAGGAAGGAGGGAAGGAGGAAGGAAGGAAGGAAGGAAGGAAAGAGGAAAGAATGAAAGAAGAAAGGGAGAAAAGAGTAAAGAGTTTTCATGGATATGTTACCACATTTAAAAAAGAAGCAGCCGTAATATCTGGGCATTTGGATAATTATGGATTATTCTCTCCTGAGGAAACAAGGAATTGAGGACATCATCACACAAGGAAATGTATACATCCTATTTATAAGTGAAGGATATTCAAAGGGAAGACTAGCAACAGCAGAGTGAAGGTTAAAGAGATGCCAATAAGCTCACGGATACGAGACAAACCCTAGGGCCAGAGGCACTGCGCAGAAATGGGGGAAGCCTCAAGAGTCCAGCATATGGACATTGGCTCTGAGCATCGCATAGGATTAAAATATGGAAAAACTTTATCAGGAAAGGAGTTTACAGAGAATCTGTAGCTGAGAACCCCATGATTGGAAACATCATAAAATGAGAGAGTGAGAGCCCCGTAGTCTAGAAACACTCCAACACGATTGAGAGGAACAGACAGAGAGAGCGTCAAGACTCTGTGGTGAGGGGGCACTCCTCAAAGGCGTTGTATGTCATCCTTTTCTGCATTTCTATAACCCAGAACCCATATTTAGGCTGATAATTTAAATCTTGTCTAATACCAAAAGCAAATAAAGGTCTATGGTGTCTTTCATCATTTGAATGAAGTATGGGATTGAAGAAGTAGCTTCCATCACTTAATCCCAGGATCCAGGCACCTTTTCTAGACACATCCACCTCCCAGTAATGTTTTCCTTATTGGATGGCTGGGTATCCCAGGATAACTTCATGACAGTTCTCACCGTGTTGTACAAAATTTCTTTTCTGATCTTCATACTTTATCTGTCTCTTGTCCTCAGTGATTGCAATGTTGGGATGGTTGTTTTGAAATGGTATCACTTGAACTGTGGAAGAATAACAGGATTACTTGAGTATACTATAATGGACAGAGTACAGCCTTATTTGTAATGTTAGCAGAATGCTAAGAAGATGAGCAGCAAACAGGCAGAACTTCGTTCAGTAGCCCAGGAGAGGCAGAGCACTGCAGACACATACTGTGCACACACATCAGAGAAGCAACATGCACCTTACAACGTGAAGCCCAACAGAGAAATAGGCTGACAGGCACTGAGAAGAGAAGGACTTGTGACACTGTGATTTCTCCTTACCCCAAGAGCTCTGGACCTTGGTTAACTCTAGAATAATGAAAAGTCATAACACTGGTGCAACCAAAGGACACAATACAATAAAAAATTCACTTCTCAGTATTAGGGGAAGCATTGGAAACTACAGCAAGGTAGGGCTGAATGGTCATTTCCAAAGAACTATGATGAAACCACCAGTACACTGTGATGGCTCTTCCTTGTCCCACAATCCACATCTACAAACCACCCTCTTTCCAATTCAGCCCTTGCCACCCCTGGAATCCACCATGTATCATAGCTCTTCTTACCTCCGAACACTTCCAGCATCCCTCTCACAAGAGGAGCTCGGAACCATCTTTGTCCTTTGGGGATTGATTTTGGCTTCCTCAGCCTCCAGGTCTGACTCCTAGAAATGCAAAAAGAATGATCTTTATACTTCAGACCCTGTGACCTCGCACCACCACTGAATTCTATCACTTCAATGCATAGATGTACTTGAACTCTGCTGAGGATGCTGAGAAGGGAGAGAGAGAGGGTAAACTACTAACTGGAGACGTGAGAAACTCACTCATGCTCCCCTCACATTTACTTTCTATATGATGATGGGAAGGTCTTAACTCTAAGAAGTAAAATATCTTCTAAAATCAAGCATGAGACTCTCCCAGTCTACCACCTAGAACTCCTAAGAAATGATAAAGTGACAAGTTTTAAGACAATACGAGACTAGGATTTCAAACAGAAAAGAACTTATGGAAAAATCACTTCCATGTATGTGGGTTCCTGGGAAAGTGGTTGAAATTCAGGGCTCAGAGCCTGTTCCTAGTTCCTTCAAGCACCTCAAGTGTGGAAAGGGAAACTCATTTGGCACAGTCTAAGATCTTCAAAGCCTGTTGTCAACAGGGAGACTCAGATTGCATCTGTTTTCAAGCACTCTTGGAAAAAGGACCACCATTGGGAAGAGAGGAACAGCAAACGAATACTAACATAGTCTCTGTATGAGGAAAACACTTGATGTGGCCTGGTGGATACATATATACATACGGACATGCGTGAACATAATGATAGCTGCTTTCTGTACTCTTCATGTGATCAAGATGGATCAGTTCTTCACACCTGGACCAAAATATTGAGCCCACAGATTCGAGATTATTTTTATAAATTTAAGTATCTTATTATTTTTATTTTATGTGTGAGTGTATTGTCTGCATATATGCAAGTGCACCCATGTCATGCAATGCCCGTGGAAGTCAGAAGATGGCATTGGATCCCTTGGAACTGGAGTTATGGATGGTTGTTGGTTGCCATGCGCATGCTGGAACTGAACCTGGGTCCTCTGGGAGAGCAGGAAGTGCTCTTAACTGCTGAGCCATCTCTCCAGCCCCTGTTTTTGTACATTTAAATACAACCACAAAGCAGCACTGGGTTTCTTCTATTCCCAGAAGACAACATGACTATATAAGAATTTTCCCAATGAACAAGTCTGTGTTCTTAGCAGACATTGAGGACTTACCAATAAACCAAGCACCTGTTAGGTCCAGAACAGAGCAAGATGCAGGTACTCAGGGTGAATAAGGTGCTGAATCACAATGGGTCTCATAGCATCTGTATCTGCTTATCCCTAATCGCAGAGCCAAATTCTGAAATTCCCCACAAGCCTTTCCCCTGCCATAGACTCTTACCTAATCCTCAATCATTGCTAAGCTCTTAAACCCTTGTTCTGACCAGAAAGTCAAGATAATACTGCATCTAAATTCCCCAAACCTGGAAGATATTATAGTCCAGTTGAAAACTAAATAAAACTTACCACACAAAAGCATCATTCCTAGTACCCCCCACACACCTATTTATGATGCAGTCCACATCCTAGGAAGGGAGAAAACATGAGTTCAGGTTTCTGAGTAAGATGGCAGAGTGAGTAAGATGGCAGACTAGAATCCTTGCCACTGAAATGCCATGAAAGAAACCAGGCACACAATAAGTCCTTTTCCTATAAGAGGCAGCCTGTAAATCAACTTATGAAGCACAGAGATATCTTCAGGAGAGCAAATGGGAGCTCTGAAAATGGACTCTGTGCTGCATAGCTTTAGTGTCAACTTGACACACCTGGTTGAGGGAGCCTCAATTGAGGAATTTCCTCTATTGGACTGGCCTGTGGCCATGTCTGAGGGACATCTTGATGAGTGATATGGGTGGGCCCAGCCCACTGTGGGTGGTGCCACCCCTGGGCAGGTGGACTTTTGTTGCATAAGAAAGCAGGCTGAGCAGGGGGCAGGGGAGCAAGCCAGTAAGCAGCATTCTTCCATGGCCTGTGCTCCAGTTTCTGCCTCCAGGTTCCTGCTCTGAGTTCCTACCTTGAGCTCCCTGATGAACTGTGACCAGGGAGATGTAAGATAAATAAACCCTTTCTTCCCCAAGTTGGTATTGGTCAGAATATTTTGTCACAGCAATTAAGAGACAAACTAAGACAGACTCCCAGGAGCCATCTTCTCCAGTGGCTGCCATTCTGGCCAACTCGAGCTGCCCTGGGACAGCAGTAAAACCTGCATGGGAAGTGCTGCTCTTCACACACTTGCCGTGTAGGACACAGGAGGCCATGCCCTTGGTGCAAGAGTCTGAGGGAAGCACCAGGAAAGGACTTACAACTCTCTCTCCCCCACACACCAGAACTGCAGGGAACAGGGAAGTCGCAGAGATCTACAGCTCCCACAAGTCCTCCCAGCCACAGTACCAAGAGAAGGCTGTGAGATCCACCAGGATCTGAGAACATCATCTTTCAAATCAACATAACTGCACTGGAAACTCACTCTGAAGTTTTCTTTTATTACTTGTTTTATATTATTTAATCTCTGCGCTTGCACGTATGTCCCATGCCTTTGTATGGCTCTGAGTTAGGTGTCGGGATTGTCGTGCATGTTTTCCATACAGTCGAGCATAAGCCGTTCTTTACTTTCCCTCACATCCATATATTTTCCCTCTTGTTTCTGCATTTGGTCCTTTCTCTTATCTTTATTCCCTCCTCTATTTACTTCTTAATTATAACCTTTCATAGCTTTACTAGTCTCTACACTTTGTGGACCCTGCCAGTATCCCTACATTCCCCTTAAGGCTACTTTCCCTACTTCAGTTAATTTATTTTCTTTCCAAGCTCAATTTTTTTCTTTTCTTTCCTTTTTTTCTTTTCTTACTGTGTAGCCCCATCTGGCCTGAAATGCCTGTGTAGATCATCCCAGGCTAGCCTCCAACTCACTGAGACATACCTCACTATTTCTGGGATTAAAGTCCTTTACAACTATGCCCATCATATCCCTGTCCTCATTCACCCTTTTTAGTAACTAGAATCAGAGTATACACATTCCCCTTGTTTGTTTACCTGCTAGTAGTTATTGAAGTCAAAAGGAACTCCATTGTTAATGACTAGTGGGACATTTGCATAGTATGACTCTCCAACAGCTGTGGGTTCTCTCGGTCAATACTCTACTCAGAGACTAAGATAAAGGTCCCAGTAGGAATCCTGAGCTCCAGGACAAAGACAGTATATGTTTTTTGAACTGTATACCTCAACTCTAGCACGTCCAATCTGTAAGTGCCTACATTACCAAATCAGTGAGATTTCTCAAATTAAAGATACAATTCACTTCCTACTGAGATGGCACCAAACACTAGTTAATAATATGCTCTTCTCCCTTGCAAAGCTTCCCCACATTCTCAGTGGCCCCTGATATTGTAACAGTGGAGCTGGACCCAGGACTAAAGACAAAAGAGTAGAAAACTCAAGCCAGGGAGTCATGGCTCTCAAGACATGATTTAAATACAGTGCATGGCTCTTTATTTACCAAGTATGCGAATTGATGGACGGCCATCTGCCACATATCTCAAGGCTTTGGAGAACCAAAGACAATTCCCCCCAACCTTACATAGATTTTGCTGAAGGTACAACTAAATACCTGTCTCTTGCTAGTTAACTAAATGTGACCCTATCCATTCCCTAACATTTAATTCACCTGGATGGAAAGCTGACTTGCAAATTTTTTGAATCATTTAAACATAGTTTTGAAAATTTCTTTTATTCTTATTTTATATGTAGAAGTGTTTCACCTGCATGTATGTAAGGACCCTTCATGCATGCTATAACTATTCCCACAGAGGCCAGAAGTGGGCATCAGATTCCTCAGAACTGGAGTTACAGATGGTTGTTAGCTGCCATGTGGGTGCTGGGAACTGAACCAAGATGCTTTGCAAAAGTAGCCAATTTTCTTAACCACTGAACAATCTCTCCAGCCCCTAAACCAGACCAGAAACTTAGTCTTTCTGATACTTAACACCAACCAACAAGACTATTTCTCACTCCCTTATTCTTGTTCTGTCTCCCTCTTTCTTCCCCCATCCCTCCAACTCCTAGCATCTCACCGCCAAGCTGTCCTTGAAATCATGGTCTTCCTGCCTCACCTTCCTAAGTGCTGGTATTACAGGTGTACAGCAGACTCAGAGATGTCTTCTTATATACACCATTGTTTATTACCAACATCACTGTCATTATTTTAAAACTATTACATTGATCCTTTTTTGGTTCATAAGCATGATGACTGGGTGTTCACGGTTGTGTGACATGTGCCACTCTCAAACCTTGTTAAGCATTGGTGCATTACCCCTCTGACATGGAAAAAAAAAAAAAAAGAAAAGCTATTGTATTTACCTTCATCTCTAGTGTATATCAGGTCAATTTAGTGACTGTCATTTATAATATTTAGCCCTCTATTCTTCACCATCACAGATACTATTTTGTTTGAACACATATTTGGAGTGTATTTTTTGGTCCTATAAAATAGTAACACTGGCCGATAGTTGGGTCTACACAAACACAGAGTTTTTTCTTTATACTAAGAATTCTATGTTTGCTTTTTGTTGCTATGTCATTTTGTTTTGCACACTCGTTTGTTTCGTTTATTGAGATAGGATCTTGCTCTGTGGTTCTGGCTGGCCTGGAATTCATAATGAAGACCATGGTGGCCTCCAACATGTATGATCCTCTTACTTCTTCCTCTCAAGTACTGGGATTACAAGTGTGTGCCACATACCTGACTATAGTGTATGTAACATAAACTAAGAAAGCCAGATAAAATGCTAAAAAGAATTTGAGAGGCTAGAAAGAAGGCTCACCAGTTAAAAGCACTGGCTGCTCTTGCAGAGGTCCAGGTTTGGTTCCCAGCACCCACATGGGCAGCTAATAACCATCCATAACTCCAGTTTCAGGGGGTTGTAACACCCTCTTCCAGCCTCCACAGGTATTGCACAGCGTGGATGTACTTACATGCATGCAGGCAAAACAATCATACTCATATTTATTTAAAAATAAATAGATACATTTTTAAAAGAATCTTGGAAAGAACTAACAATCTCATTCACTGATGAATTCTGAAGTTCAAACTTGTCCTCCTAGAGACATCTGCATGCTCATGTCTCCTGAAACATTATTCCAATAGCTGACATATGGAGTCAGTAAGGGCACTCATCCCAGAAGAACATGGAAAAATGTGCTATATATGCATCACAGAGCACTAGACAACTTTAAAGAGAAGGAAGTATTTTCAGTTGTGATAACATGGATCAACCTAGAAGTTGAACCTCAATAAAAAAGTTTTAAAGTGTATAAACAATCTATTTAAAGGTGATATGAAAATAGAATACAAATTTTGTATCTCTCTAAATTGAAAAAAAACCCTCACGAAGTAGGTTGGCTTAACTGGTCAATTTTACTGGATATTAAAAACACAATACTAGAGGCTGGAGAGATGGTTCAGCTGTTAAGAGTATTGACTGCTCTTGCAGAGGACCTGGGTTTTGTGCTCAGCACCTACATGGTGGCTAAAAGCTATCCATAAACAAGTCCCAAGGGATCTGGCACTGTCTTCTGATCTCCATGGGCATTGCACAACATGGGTGCACTTATATATATGAAAGCAATACACTCATACACATAATAATAAATAAAATACTTAAAAAATAAATAAAAATGCAATACCAGTTTTCATGAAATTTTTCAAGAAGCAAATGAAAAGGGGAAAAGTGTGAACTCAGCCTATGAGGGATGCGCTGGATAGCTTTAGTGTCAACTTGACATACCTGGGTTGAGGGAGCCTCAATCAGGGAATTTCCTCTATTGGACTGGCCTGTGGCCATGTCTGAAGGTCATCTTCTTGATAAGTGATGTGGGAGGACCCAGCTCACTGTGGGTGGTGCCACCCCTGGGCAGGTGGGCCTGTGTTGCATAAGAAAGGAGGCTGAGCAGGGGCCAAGGGAGCAAGCCAGTAAGCAGCATTCCTCCATGGCCTGTGTTCCAGTTCCTGCTTCAAGGTTCCTGCCCTGAGTTCCTACCTTGGGCTCCCTGATGAACTGCATGCGACCTGGGAGATGTAAGCTGAATAAACCCTTTCCTCCCCAAGTTGGTAGTGGTCAGAGTATTTTGTCACAGCAATGAAGAAACAAACTAGGACAAGGGAAAACACAAGCATCTCTGGTGACCTCAAGTTCATTTATTGTACGGTGACCAACTGGAGTGATGGAAATGTGCTTGAGTGTTGGGAGCTATTAATCCATTATGTACATTGAGCTGTGGCAGGCTTGCTTGTTTACTTAGTTTGTGTTTTGCACACCAGTACCTAATCTTCCAAATCAGGAGGAATGTGTTTATATGGTGGAGTTCACAACAAGTATCTGACCGCTCCTTGACCCTCAGATACAGGTGGGAAAAACAGCTGTTGAAGCTAATTGAGTTAAGCAAACGGTGGCTGTCTGATGTTCTGCTGTATAAAAAGGCGGAGCTGAAATAAACCCGGGCTGCAGTCACTACTGACAGTCCTCCCAAGTATCTTTTCTGTCTCTTGTTTTTTCTTTCAATCCTCACTCCCCCTTTCAGGTACTGTCTGTCTTGGCCGGCTGGCACCGGCACTTGAGCCATGATCAGCAGAACATCACAGAGAATGGGAGCCAGAAAATACCTGTAGACCCAACAGATCTTCTCTCCAAAGTTCAGTTTTTGCACTGAACTTGATAAATTACTAAAAAGGGCATGTTCTCTTTGCTATTCATGCAAGTAATGATTCACCAGACCTCAGAAATTGATCATGGAATGAGGCAGTGCAGGGCAGAGAACTTGCCCATCATCACCAGGAAGAGCACAGCTCCATAGAAGGGAAGGACATAGTTGACACATCTCCTGACTCTCAGGTGCTGGGACTTCCTTCAGTCTCACCTGCAGCATCTCCAAGGTTGACCCTTGCAATCGACACTGCAGGTCTGAGATGAGACTTGCCATCAACTTCATCTGCTAGACCCATTTATTTTCACACTCCGCCAGGCTACTCAGAACGTCTTCCTCTTCTTGCTTCAGTTTTTGTAGCTCATTCTTCTCCTGAGAGTCCAGGATGTCTCTGAGCCTTTTAAACTCTTCCTGAACATTCCACACATCACTCTGTATTTGCTTCTTCAGGCATACAAAAAGAGGTATTCAGTCTTAGAGATGGGGCCTGGAGAATTATGGTGTTCTCACAGGCAATGGAGATAGAAAAGGGGAATCAATTCTCAGGGAAGCATGTGTTTCCTTTTAGCTTCATGACATTCCAAAACAAAGACCTGAGTCAGCTTTCCGAAGGCCACCTGAGCCAAAATGGGATCCCTGAGTGTGCCTCAGTTTCACACAGCTGTCCAGGCACCAGTTCCGTTCTGCATCACTCTACGTTCCACTTCTGAACCCTGTTAGTAGCTGAACCCCGAGGACAGAACCTAGACTCCTTCCCCAGAATCTTTCCCTAATACAGTCATAGTTTGCAAAAGCACCATGGGACTGAGACCCAGGACTCTCTATCTGTTCTCACCAGAGCCCCTCCTGTGGCCAGCTCCTCAAACAGCTGGACTGGTTTGTGATGTACTCAGTCTCCAGGCCTGAAGGGAATATTTGGACAGGATTAGTCAAAGCCTCTTGGTCTTATCAACTACCAGGGAATAAAGAAGGAGGGAGCTGCTTCCCCACATCCTGCCAGAGAGCTGCCTGACTCCCTTGGGAAGTGTATGCCTTGCCTGCCAGAAGGTTCCATCTTCTTGGAGGTCATCTTTCCAGTTCTCACATTTTTTCTTGTCTGTCATCAGTTTCTGCAGAGCTACCTGGAGCTTCCCCTGTGAGAAAAACACCAGAGTCAAGCTGTGAGCTCTGCCAGGGCTGTTCTTTCTACACCAAAGGCAAAAATAATCCTTCTGGAAAGACAGGAAGCCTAGAATTGTTACCTCTTTTAGATAATCTTGGTACGATTCATATACATAAAGTATAAATCTTAGGTAATACTATAATCAATTCAATACTTGTATTTATAAATTTATAATTATCATACAGATAAAGACACAGAAAATTCTCTTAGTCAACAGCCCCACCAACTATAACCCAGCAACTTAGATTCAAGCATCAGAGAAATGGGATAATTCTGGTAGTTTCTTGAAATTTTTCTGCCAGCCCATACACACACACATTTCATGCATAATCTTTTGGATCTGAATTCTTATACTCTATAACAAATACTTTAGATTTCTTTCATGTTTATGACTGTTCTGTCAGTGTATGTATACATACCACATGCATGCCTGATGCCCACAGGCAACAGAATTCTTGTTCTCACCTCTGAAATACTGTGATTACAGGCACATGGCACCACTTGTCAGTCAAATTAATGCTTTTTGTACTAACAGAGGAGCCTGCATCAATGAAAGAGCTTATTCTCAACCCAGTTCATGGACTTCTTCTCTAAAATTAGCAGAGTTAATTAAGGGCCAGGAGTGATAGTGCATGCCTTACATCCCAGCAGGAGGAACTTGTTATATAAACAGAGCTGGCCTCAATCTCACAGATATCCTCCTGCCACTACCTCCTGAGTGCTGGAATGAAAAGTAAGATACCATGCCTTGGGAGCATCAAATATCAACTTTTTTTTTTTTTTTGGTCTTTTTGAGACAGGGTTTCCCTGTAGCCCCAGCTAGCCTAGAACTCACTATGCACACCAGGCTGGCCTTGAACTCTCAGAGATCCGCCTGCCTCTGCCTCCCAAGTGCTGGGATTAAAGGCATGCACCACCATACCTGGCTTCAAATATGAACATTTTACAGCAAGCTGTAAAAATATTTGTTCTTATTCTAGAGTTAATTCTACATACATTCTCTTATAATTAGGTAGAGTGCACATTCATGTCTTTTTAGGCCTCAGAAACAGTAGAAGAAATCATGGGCCTCAGTTCTATGATGGCAAGGCTACTGAATTAGCACATAATGTACAGATTTCCCATCAAGCATTCTGCTTTCCCTCAACTTTGCATTTCTTACCCGATACTCCTGGGCCACCTCTTCTATAAGTAATGTTTGGTCACTGTGGTGCTCCTGAGATTGCTGACAAAGCCAACAGATGAGCTTCCTGTCCTTTTCACAAAACAGCTGGAGTCTCTCTCCATGGCTTGTGCAGTGGTGCACAGACCGCGCCTCTTCTGGGCATGACATCATCCCTTTGACCCTCTCCACTACTTTGGCCACGTGCTGATTAGTCTGTAGATTCCCAAATTGGTAACTGACTTGGCAAATAGGGCAGCTGCCCTTCCCGTTGATCTTTGGTGGACTCATAATTCAGTTTGATGCTGTTTCGACAGAAGGTGTGGCCGCAGTCTGCGCTCACAGGTTCCTTCAGGAGCTCCAGGCAGATGGGGCAGGTCACCTCCTCTTGTATGCTCCCCAGGACTGCTGAAGCCATAGATACTGTTTGCTGCTCCTGCCTGTCCTGACTGCAGGTTCCTCCTGCTCAGATGCCTGATGACTAGGAAGATGAAAAGGGGTCAATGTTAGAAAGGCAGGAAGAGGATAGTGACCATGCAGAAATCAAGGATGGGCCGAGAGCAGAACAATGAAAGACAAAGAGGAAGAGAGAAAAACAGTCTTAGCACGTGCAGCACTTGAGTTTGATCCCCAACAGAACAAAATAATAATAATATTAATAACCAGAAAATCAGAGCGCACACAGAGCAAACACTGCAAGAGTGTTGAACGTTCTGTCCCAAGTTAAGTAATGAGGCGACTGGAGGGTTAGCCAAGAATCCCAACTGGAAATCATAGGGATTCAATGATGATTAAGTAATAGCAAAGAATTACAGCAAGAAGACAAATGCTTTAATAGAAGCAATCGCACATGTGAGTAGCCAGTGAAGGAAGACAAGGTCCATGGTTTTGAAATTGCTGGTATGGTGATTAGGGGTTTGGTTTCACTTAAGTCTTGAGGGAAGAGTGTGTGACATTTCTCAAACGAGGTGACATCTTGGAGCTCTTTCTGAGGAATAGGGAGAAATGATCAATGACAACGATCAGAAAGAGTACCTCACCACCCCAGCAGACAGATGTCTGAGCCATTCAGCTGTGCCTCCTACCATTCTTACATGGTACCCACTCCTTGGGGAAACAGAGCCTTGCTTAAACTGTGCCATCCTGCTTTCTGCATCAAACTGCCATGGTACCTGTTGGAGACCAAGATGGCCAGACTCAGGACAAGTTAGGCCTGAACTTTTGAACAGGCTACAGCCTCTGCTAAAAGGGGCAAAGAACTGAAAACTGTGTCTCACAGCCCTGTCATGCGGAACACTGCAATGACTAGCAAAAGGCAGCTGGCCAGGTTAAAAGTTTACAGTCTCTTTGTTCTGAGAAAAACATCTTGACTTCCTTGACCTAGAGGTGAAAAACAGCCTAATCAATAACACCAAGTATGTGTGTAATTAAAATTAAGACATCTTAGTTAATAAGCTCTGACTCATTCCTTGATCTTTTACAAAGCACCCTCTGCCCATTGTAAGGACTGATCAACCTTATACGTAATATGAACACCCTTTGTCTGAAATGACCTGTACCTCCACCCTGGACCCTGCACATACCCACTAGGCCCTCTTTGGTATATGTGCTGGATAGCTTTCGTGTCAACTTGACACACCTGGGTTGAGGGAGCCTCAATTGGGGAATTGCCTCTATTGGACTGGCCTTATGGCCATGTCTGAGGGGCATCTTCTTGATGAGTGATGTGGGAGGGCCCAGCCCACTGTGGGTGGTGCCACCCCTGGGCAAGTGGGCCTGTGTTGCATAAGATAGCAGGCTGAGCAGGGGCCAGGGGAGCAAGCCAGTGAGCAGCATTCCTCCATGGCCTGTGCTCCAGCTCCTGCCTCCAAGTTCCTGCCCTGAGTTCCTACCTTGGGCTCCCTGATGAACTGCGTGCGACCTGGGAGATGTAAGACAAATAAACCCTTTCCTCCCCAAGTTGGTACTGGTCAGAGTGTTTTGTCACAGCAATGAAGAACGAACTAAGACAGTATATAAGCTTGCTGTTGGAGAATAAAGTTGACTTGTTAGCTTATTGTGAAATACAGCACAAGTCCCATAGTGGTTACTCTGTCACCGGTCAAGTCTCTCTGTTCCCGGAGCTGGGTGCCCCCGCTGAGCAAAGCAACCCTGAGATAGGTACCCTATCCTTCAGAGGCATAACTGACCCCATCCCCCAGAGCCTGAGCTACAGAGATGGCTTACCTTCCTGAGGGACAATTAGCTCAGCTCTGTACCTTACTTTTGAGGCCTTAGATACTATGATACCCTACTTTTCCCTGCATAGCACCATTAGCCACATTGTTCCTGGTCTCCTAGGGTCAAAGTCACAGCTGTGGCCGACCATTCTGAGGTTCTTGCTGCTGCTGCACATTGCCTTGTGGAGAATGGGCTTAAATAACCTTCCACTGTCTTTATACTATGCTGCTATAACAGAGTACCTGATACTTGGTAATTCATAAAGAACAGGGATTTATTTTGATGTCTAGGATGGAAGAAGTCAAAGTTTGAGGGGCCCACAACTGGTGAGGCTCTGTGTGTGTGTGTGTGTGTGTGTGCTCTGTGTGTGTGTGCTTGGTTTGTGTGTGCTGTGTATGTGTGTGTGCTGTGTGTGTGTTTGTTTTGCTTTCATTTTTAATTTTTTTGAGACGGTTTTACTTTGTTGCCATGGATGGGTTGAAACTCCCTAGGGAGACTAGGTTGACTTTGAACTCATAGACATTCCCCTGGCTCTGCCTCCTGAGTGCTGGGACTAAAGTCAGGAACCACCATGCTCAACTGCTGAGATCTCCTTGCTGTGTATCTCATGACAGAAAACAGATGGGAAGGACAACATGTGCCCAGGAAAGAGTGCAAGAGAAGGTGAGGAGGCCAAGCTGCCCTTGCATCAGGGATTCACCCCATGGTAACTAAACCATCCTACAGCATTCATCCACTCATCATGGATTAAGAGGGCTGATGCCTCGTAAACGACTCATCTCTTAACCCTGTTGAACTGAGGATTAAGTTTCTAACATATGAATACTGGATGACCCACTCACATCAGTAAGCACTGTTCTGGGCTTCATTCCCTGGCCCAAACTGCCATCTTGCCCTGATTCCCAGGGCTTGAGTTTCTGGAGCACATGCTAACCCCTGGATCTCTGGTGATGTTCTGCACTGCCCTGCCACAGGGTCAGAGCCATAGAAAGACAGCTACGCTCCTTCGCCCTGGCCCTGAGTTGCAACAGTGCAGCTGAGGGTCTCAGACCATTCTTTGATGGTAGTCTACATCTACCAGCACTTCGGTGATGAACTCATGCACCAGCTTCCACTGCCATAGGACTTAGTTCATTTCACACCTCACTATTCCAAGGACAGTCTGAGCACGTGTCCTGGAGCACAGTGTAGCTGTGATGACCAATAGGGCAACCCAGGCGTGACCCTAAGAGAGACTTGTACTGGACTTCACACTGTAGGGAAAATGAAAATATCAAGTCCCCCAACCCTTTAACCAAGGAGGAGCTCACCAGCTGTACTGCTAGTGCTGCTGCCACACAAGCCTGCAGTTCCGGCCACTGAGACACCTTCAGGCTTTGCCAACACTGATCCCAGCTGACAGAGCCGCGTGAAGATTACACCACTGTGCCTATTAGAACCAGAGACACCACGCCTGGCCAAGTGATACCCTTCTGTCAAATGTTAAGTCTTTCCCCACGGATACTAACCTGAGGAGTTTGAAAGGGAAGAGCACGGGGACAGAAATACCATGAAAAAGCCAGAAACACAACCCTACCCAAAGAACATCATAATCCTCTAGTAACTGACTCCAAAGAAACAGAACTTGGAACTATTGAAACAGATGAGAGAGAGAGAAAGTCAAATGTGCTACATTTGAACTACACCACCTTGAACAGCACACACCCACCAATGGCAGCAGAAACTCACCTACAACTGAACAACTATACACACAAAGCATACACACACACATACACACACACACACACACACACACACACACACACACACATACATTTTTTCACTTGACACCGGGTATCTTTCAGTTGTCAGGCAAGACTGATCTTGCTTTCTTCTTGCTTCAGCCTCCTAGATATTTGGAATTACAGGTGGGTTGAACTCCACTTCACTGTGGCACACACAAGCCAAGAGGAAGGAAAAGCAAAAGGTGCTGATTTTTAGGGAACAACAGTAATTCCTTCTCTTGGCTGTCAGACAGGATCAATAATCGATAGTAGGCTACACAGCATCAGGGCTTCTACCCAAGGTCTGCAGAAAGCACTGAGAAGCAATCCATAGCGTCAAGCAGAACCACATTAGTTCACAAACAGGCTTTATGCCCTTTTTCAAAGGTCACAGGCTCAGGTCTGATCCTGATGTTGGAGGAAGGGACTATGTGTCCTGGAGGACAGGATTTTGAATCTCTTCATCAAGGTGTGATTCAGAATTATAGATTATAGAAGGAATGGGAGAGACTCAGTCTATGAGAGTTTACTGGGATCATCTCAGTCTTTAAACCTGTCCTCTTTCAAGGCAGGCCCTCTCCTAGGTTCATCCCTATAGCCCTCTGCCTTGGAATCCAGAAGCCCCTCCCACTCATTCCCCTTTTAAGGAAGAAGTTTAATTCACTCAAGCAAAGACAGTTTTTCTTCTAATGTCTTCTAAACTCTGTTCTCTGCAAATTGCTCTGTACACCTTCAGGCCCAAAGAGAGGGAAGTCTCCTGAGAGGGAAGACAGGCCTGAGGTGAGGTACAGAGGGCTAATTCCTCAGGCCTTAACTCAAAGGCACTCCTTCAGAGCCAGAGAAGAAATGAAAGTTAAATCTTTGGTACTGGAAAATAAGGGAAAGAGGACTGAAAGCCATGGTAAAGAGACAGGGGAACAATGATCCCTTCAGTGAGGTACTCTACTTTCTCTTCCGAGTTTTCACCCCCTAGCACTGTCCCTAGGAGGGCAGTAGCCATGCTGTCCAGTTGGGTCTGCCCACGTGCACATTTCCCTTTCCTTTCTCTTTCAGAAGCTGGCCAGAACCTAAGCTTGCTTTTTCTAGTACACTGAGTTTCCAAACTCAGCATCTCTAAAGATGCTCTCACTGACTAGTGACTCTCTGCTGCCAGATGATGACCTCCAAGCCTAGTTATCTCAAACCTCAAGGCTTTCTCTTCTTCTCCATTGGCCTCCTCTGAGCAAATGTGGAGATTGACAGCTTGCATGCCCCGGGAATCTCCTTTTATAGTCCACTAAAACAGTCCAGAGTTTACTTTTGAGTCCACTCTTAAATTCTTCGGCAAACGATGCTAAGAACCTCCCGGGTAAACTCTTATTTTACTGGTGTCATCTGGATGTCCCCAAATTTCTGATAACACTGTTTTTGCCACGCTACTGGGGCAAGGGACCAT